CTCGCACACACAGACACACACATACCTAGATGCAAAGGGAGAAAAGGGTGAAAAGCAAAGGGTGGTTTCAGGGAAGCGCAGAAATAAGAGAACGATGATGGTGAACGGGCGCGCGCGGAAACGAAAAGCGTCTCGCGTATCGATTAAATATTAATTTCGTTTTAAGGCCGAGGCGGAGGCTTTTAAAGAGGGTGCCGTGCATGGAAGCTTCTCCATGCTTCTCTTGTGTTGTTATTCAGCCATTCCTATAAATGAAAGCCATTCTATCGTGGTTTTATATGCGATAAAAGATGGAATAATCAAGAAATTCCAAGTTTAGAATTTTTCATTTTAAAATTTGAATTTGACAGAAATTTTAACAACTTTCTATAAAAATAAGTAATATTTTTGTTATACGCTGTGATAGATAATTTAATTGTCTACCATTTGATGTTTAATTTGAAACTTTCCTATAATTATTGACAAAGTTATGAGCAAAATTGTAAAGTTTTTTATTTTGATCAGATTTAAGAAGAGCAACAAATTTAAAATCAATTAAAACATATTATTTAAACAATAATCTAATACTCAAGTATGTAATCTGAAAGTATGATTAATTTACTTTCTATATACGTTTGAAATTTGGTATTATCTAATATATTTATAAAGATATTTGCTTCAAAGCTTTGCATGTACTTGATAATAATATCAATAAATGTATTCTATCAACGTTTAAGTTTATACGCATATTCAAGTATTTTTTGTTTAATTTTTAATATATAACAAAACACCAAATGATAGAGAATTTAATTGTCTTTAGAATGGTCTTTTGCCGAAAAAAATATCTTAATTATTATAAAAGTTATTAACAAAATAAAAATAAATTAAAATTTTGTATTTCAAAATCTAACTTCAACTTTAACGTTAATTTAAACTCATTATTTAAACAATGCTGCTATAAATAAAAATGTAATTTAGTTCAAAATTTAATTGTCAGTTGTTATCAAAAAGAAAATTTTTAATATCTCTTGTTGTTCAAAAGTTATTAACTAAAATATAAACAATTTCAAAAATTCACACCGCGATAATTAATTTTCTGCTGAATTGAACAATAATATCGCTAAAATTTGATAATGCGATCACAATTTGTTGTCGAAGGCAGTTATATGGGGGCGGCAGCATGGGCGCCGGTTTTCTCCTCGATGATTAGATGAGGTTGCGGTGTCGCCGTTTTAATATACGAGATTATTGCATTAATTATGAGCGTTGTGCGCTTGCCGCGCTCGATTTTCGATTTTCTTAAGACGCAAGGCACGCGATTTTCCACGCCATCGAGCCGCCCCTCTTCCCCAGCCGCCCCCGACCCTCCTCATTGACACTCGCGCGCCAATCTAATTAATTAATTTCGGTTTAGTTTAACTTCATAAATTTGCACTTTAATGCGCGAGACTCGCAAGCGGCGATGGTGGCGTCGGGGGGCGGCAACAATTTCGAAGATAAACGATATACGTGGTGCCGGAAACAACACTCACACACACATTTATATTCATAGATACGAAAAGTCTTCACGTTGAGGTGGAATTATTATTATTATTCAAACGGTGGCGGTGTGTGTGTTGGAGGCGGCAGATACGATCGCAGTCATGTGCAGTTCTTAGCGCTGCACGTTCTTAGCGCGCGACTTTCGCCGATCGTAATTGATGCGCAGAATAAAGCCAACTATTGTAAGTTTTGGCGGTTGGCGGCGGTTGGAGGTGGGGGCGGCGGTTGGGAAGCGGCGAGCTGGGTCTCTTAGGAGAGGTGAGCATGAATCCGCGTGACGTTATCAAACGGTCTGTTGCCGTGTGCGCGTTCTCGCCCGGGGGACGTGTTTTCGGGGGCGGCGGGCAAAACACGTTAGAAAACGCCGATTCGAGCGCGCGGCGCGCTCACGTCTTCGTATTTAAATACCCCGGGGAGTTGCGACGCAAGATAAGAACCTTACTACGCGACAACGCGACCGCCCCCACTGAAAACCACCCTTTGGGGAACATTTTCAGTTGAATTTTCGTTGAAAATTGCTGGATTTTTGATAATTTGAATTTGACTTCAAATTTTTGGTACTTAGAAAAGAGCTATAGGCTTGGTTAATATATCAAATGAAAGATAATTTAATTGGCAATTGAAATATGCAATTTGTATTATGAAGTAATTTGTAATTAATTAGTTATTAGCAAAATAAAAAATATTGTTTTTAATTGACCTGTGTTTTGAGTGTAATGTTTAACATTAAATAATTATGGTTAATTTGATTTAAATTTAAACATGTTATATATCAAATGGTAGGAATTTTTAAGGGCTATCATTATGTGTAACTGGAGTTTAGATTATTTTAACAGTACAATAATTATAGAGAAAATAAACAAATAAATACATTTTAGCATTTTTTTTATATCAAAACCAATTATAACCCCAAAATTGCCCACTTAAAATATAAAAATTTGCAATTTTGATCATAATATCGTATTAAAAATTTAATTATCTATAGTTTACACTTTACTTCAATGTTTTATCTCTTCTGAATTAAAAGTTATCCTCAAAAAACTAAAATTTATCATTTTTGAAGTAAATTAGTGCGTATTGAGTTGCACGATGAGCAATATTCACATTTCAAATTGAATTTGTTCGTATCCGTATGATGTCCCTATTGCCACCGCCTCCAGTTGGCGGTAAAGTGAAGAAAGAAGAACTTCAAGAACAGCGGAGACGCGCTGATTACCCTTGCGAACTGCGAATATTTCGCAGCGCTGGGGGCGATGTCAACGCCGCCGCTTTGTTCAAGTTCACGTTCACGCTCTCACGACATGCGAATTCCATTAGAATTTAGTTTCTAAACTTTTTTTACTTATCAAACATTTTTAATAATTTTAGAATAGAATATCCTATGTAATATATGCTGTGGAGGCGCCGGGATAACATTAGAACTTGTATTTGCTCAGTTAATGTTTAATAAACGTGATGGAAATATGAAAATACTGTTTAAATATGTTAAAGATGTTGTGTTCTAGGAAGTTCAATCGAGTGGTGATGAACACTCGTCTCATTTACACACCGCTCGTTTCCTTTTACGCATCCTTGCGCATCCTTAAGATGTAGTTTCCGTTTTTCCTTTGACAATGAGAGACAATGGAGACAAAGCCAAGAAAATGCCAGGAGGCTGGGATGCGCTCAAGAAAATGAAATTGGGTGTGCTTTGATCATTTTGGTTAAAAATTTTGTAAAATTTTGGTTAAATTTGCTTAAAAATACGAAAAAAATGCAAAAAATTAAAATTTTTACAATTTTGGAGTTTACGTTAAATATTTTAGTTTTTTCATAAGATATTTGTATCATCCTGTATATCAAATTAAAGATAATTTAATTGTCTATCTGAATTCATCTGGAAATATGTAATATTTTAATTGTGTATAAAGTTATTAACAATTTAAAAAAGTAATTTTTGGTTTTTCCTAATTTTAAAAGACATTTTTCAAAAATCAATAAAAAAAATGTTACAGAACGATAATAAAATCATACTAAATATCTTGTCATCAAGAATTTTCCTGTCTATAAAATTTAGTAGCGTTTCTTAATTTATCACTATTAGATCAAAAGTTATTAACAAAAAACTAAACAAAATCAAAAAAAATTTCAATTTTTACAATTTTTTGTTGAAATTTTTGTTTCAATGTAAAAAATAAATTGTTTTTAATAACTTTTAAGCAAAATAATTAAAATTTTCTTATAAACAATTTAATTAACCATCTTTAACAAGTTTTTCCTTGAAGTTATCTTCCATAATTAATGTTTTACGCCGAAAAACATGAAATTAATTATGCTTACTCATAAGTCTCATGTTTGTCTTTGCGTGAATCAAGACGAAGGAGCTTTTAGTTTGAGCTAAACCAAAACTTTAACTTTCATCTCGGGGCGCAAAATACACAGTAATTTTCTGAATCCAGCGCGAGCGTAATGGCAATGCTTTCCGCTAAAGCTGCGCCGGGAAAACAGCATAAGAAGTCGCAAGTCGCAAGTCGCAATCCCCGCCGCACGAAAGCACCGTGCAGCTTTTATATATCTATGAGTATGTGTGTTCATGTATACATACATGTATAGTGGGTCTGTAGAAAATTCGTCGGCAGCGCAAATAAGTCGCAGTCGCAGCCACGGGGTAATTTGGTAAGGAAATTACTGTTTATTTTGCCGGCGCGCGCGCGCGAAAGCCGGAAAGTTGGAGGAAAGCTCAAAACGAGCGCAGGACGACGCGGATCCAGCCAGCCAACGAGCAAATATTAAAGCTGTAGCATTTATTCTTATTCTCGAAAGCTCGTTCATAACTTACAACGCGAACAAAGTTCATTTCTAAGCAAATTTGGTGCAAAAATTTTGAAATTTATTGCATTTTTATGATTTAAACAAATTTGATAAGAGATATGAGCATAATTCAAAATGTATGTGATTTGGTATTAAATTATCTATCAATTTTAATAAAAAATTGTTATTAAACAATTTCAGAAATACCATTTTTCAGTCGTTAAACTTGACTTTAAATTTTCAGCTTAGTAAAATTAAAAATTTTATTTTATTAAATTGTTTATAACTTTTGTTGTAATCATCGTAGCGTTTTGAATTTTTATGTGTTTTATAAACAATTAAACTGTGTTTCGCTTGATCTATAACAAGTTGATTTAAAAGTCGTAATAATAAGCTTTTCGGGCTTCCAAAAATAAATTTATATAATTTTTGTTTTTGTTTACTAAAAGTTTAATAACTTTTTTCCCAATGAACAAATATGCTTAAGTTTTACATTGTGTAATAGCTATTTAAATTACCTATTCAAAAATATATGACTTTACTATCCAAACTACTTTGAAGTGTCTTTAATTACGACGTAAACTTAAGTCAAAATAATTTCCTAACTTAGCAGTTTTAAAAATTATTTCTGCTTGTATTAAACTCAATATTTTCCCAAAAAACTTAACAAATCCAATAAAAAAACTTACCTTGCGTAGTTAAAGTTGACTTAAGTTGAGTAAAAGTGTTGCTTATTGATTGAAACCGTTCGAAACTTGATTTTTTGCTTGAGATTTTGCACAGCCCACGAAAACGCAACTTTCCAGCTTACAAGTTGCAACTTGGCAAGATTTCATCAGAAGAGAACTTTGAAGAGATGTTAAGATGTTACCTTGGAAGAACGCGAGCACGGACTGACCACTTTCTGACCGCTCCGCGGGCCATCCGCAGCGAGGACACCGCGATTTCATCAACGGGGTGAAAAACGTGTTTTAAAAACTAGAAATTCAACTCGTCGAGGATATTCACATTCATTCCCGTGAGTAGAAGTAGAAGTTGACCGGACGCGAACATTCCAATAGGGGTAGTTTCAACCCTCTTGCGTCTTGAAACAGGTTTCGGCAACTGACCAGCGCTCCAGGGCTAAAACGGACTGCAAACAGGTTTTATTTTTGGATATTTAGTATTTTTTTATTTTTTTTAGATTTTTTTTTATTTAAGGGTTAATGAAATAACAATTGAAGTAATTATTTATATTAACGAAGGATAAAAGTATGTTAATTTTTATTTTATTGAATTAAAGTTGATTGTGGCGATTGTGGAAGATAATTTAGTGAAAATTAGTTGTGACGTTGGGTAATTTTTGAGTTGGAGTAGTTGAAGTGGTTGAAAATTAAATAATTGCTATTTTATGTTTGCATTTAGGGATGATTAATTTATTTTATTATTTTTCTTTACTGAAAATAGAAAAAAATGTATTTTTGGTTATAAATTAGAAAATAATTGTATTCAAAGGTTGATAATTTGTAAAATAATTAATGGATATCTAGAGTAATTAATTTTATTATATTTGGTATAAAATTTTGTAATTTGTTATTAATTATTGTCCATTAAACATAAATTATTTAAATCTGTGACATGAAAAAAAACATATTTTATAAATCACTCTGTATCTTTTACATCTTTCATTCGATTTTTATGATGTTTTGACTTTTAAGTAGAAAAAGAGTTGTTCGATCGATTTCACTTTACTTATATTCTCAAAAATCATCAAAACTACCCTTAAACTAATCTTAAAATTAATCTTTTTTATAATTTATAATGCTTGAACACATTTTACAAAACTCTCTGTATCTTTTGAGCCTTTTATTAAATTTACAATATTTTTTCATCAAATAATAGGCAATAAGTTACTTAATCAAATACAATTTTTTTCTGACCCAGAAACTACCCCAAACAACCCTTAAATTGCCCCTAAACTCAAAAAACACTTCAAAAATCTCAAATTTTTCTCCTAATTTTTCCAATTTTTCACATTTACTTCTTTTCCGGTCTAAATCATCCCTATGCCCAGACATAACATTACACTACCCCTTTTCGGGTAGAATGCGGTTGTTGTCGTTGCGCTGGGTGGCAGTTTCGCGCGCCTGGTGTCGCTTGTGCGGTCACTTACAAGAAGGGTGTGAGTCGGGCGCTGCGGCTCGAGGCGTCGCGGCGCCGGACACCGCTGGACGCCGGCGTACGCTAATTAGTTTTCATTATTTAAATGCGAAAAACACGTGTTCGCACTCGCGCACTTTTCTACCGCTCTCCGGGTGACAATTGAAAATTTGCGCCAATTTGTTACGCGAAGCGGGCGACAAATTGCCAACAACAATGACAATAACACTCAAAAATACACACAAAAAACATATTTAATAATAATAAATCTACAAAAATATATAATTTGTTTATAAATCATGCATTTTTTATTATTTGAAGTAAGATATTGATGAAAATTGAAAAAAAAATTTAGTTTTCTGTTTAAAAGGCTATAAATAATTTATTAACAAATAAAACAAGTGGCAATTAAGCTAGGTTAATAGACAATTTTATTGGCTTTAAGAATTTAAAAAGATTTTGTTAAAATATTAAGGGAGTTAGGAATTATTGCAAAAATAATTATAGTTTTCTAAAAACTTAAGACAAAAAAATTAAATTTTTTTTGAGTAAGTTTAAATAACAATATCTATGGATATAATTACTCAATCTTTATAAATTATACATGAAATGGAAGATAATTTATTACTCTTTAAAATTGTAATAAATGTAATTTATAGCTTCTATATTTATTGAGTTATTTCATAAATATTAAATTATAACATAAATTTTTCTTCCAAAAATTTTACTTTTTTTGCAAAATTTTAATTTACAATAACTTTTACAATTATTGTTATAGATTTACTATTTAAACGCCACTCCATAGATAATTTAATTCTCTTTCGACCGAAATTTACAAATTTTTAATAACTTTTATATCTTCTTAGTTATTCAACAAATAACAAAACATTTCAAAACAAAATTTTTATTCTTTTTTATCTACCTGAACAATATCAAAACAAGTTCATATTCCTATTCACCCTTAAACTTACAATAAAAAAACACAGCCCTTCAATTCCTTTACAACCCTTTATGCAACATTCTTCTTCTACCTGTGTCCTCCGTGTCTTCAAGACTTTTCAATCGCATTTTTTACCCCTTGGGTCATCTTCGCGTTTCATTTATGCAAAAGTTTGTCCAAAGGTCAAGCAAAACCTGTTTAACCGACACTTTTATAACAAGTATCTTAGTATCTTTGCTGTGTCTTGTCTGCGCTTTGATTTTCCCACGTCCACGGCTCGTCCAGACAACCCTGATGACCATGACTGTGACCATGTAGTGACCTTCTGCGTTCCCATCATTCCCGTCGCGGAAACCGGACTGTTTCACCCCAAATATAGAGTTGTGAAGAGTAGAATGTATTTTTGGTATTTTTCAGTTGTGATTGTGATTGTGACTGTGATTGAGTGCAGATGGTGGAGTAAACTGGTCATTTGTTGATTTGCAGAGCGGCCCGTCTGCGAAAACTGGTTCAACTTGTTTGGAACTGACCGGTGGTCAATCGAAAATGCCAACTGTCCGTGTATATTCATCTAGAGGACACGGAAAGTATATTTTACGGGTTGAAATTGGTTTATATTATGTTTTATGTCATAAAAAGTAAAATTTTATTTTTTGAAAATTTGTTTTATTTTATTCAAATTGCGATAACTTGAAAATTATTAAAGTTTTTTCGATATTGTTTTCATGCGATTAAAAAGTATTAAATTATCTATATAAATGTTTTTGGAGTAATTGTTTGTCTTAATTTGAACTAAAGTTATTGACTCTTAAACTCACAAATTTACTTTTGATGTTTGGTTTGTATTTCTAGATTTGATTTGTTGAATTTAAATTCAAATAACTTAAAAACTATTATAGGTACATTAACTATCTTTTTACCATCTTATAAACAATTTAATATTCTATTGAACTGTTAAATTCTGTACGTGTATACTAAATATTTCTATAGTTATTAAGGATTAAACATTACTAAAAAAAATTTAAAATCAATGATTATCTTTTTGTTTTTCTTCTAAATTTATTAACAAATAGAAGTAATATAAACAATTATAAATTAATATTGTTATATATCATTTAAAAGTATGTTAAATTACCTATCAGAATCAATAATAATATAATTAATTATTTATGTTTTCGTAAACTTATTAAAGTTTTAAACAAAAAATGCAATAAAATGTTTTTTACATAATAATTTGTTAATAACTAATTCTAAATAATACTTGAAACAAAGTGTAATACATAGAATAAAAGACAATTAAATTATCTATAACATTGAGTAATAATTATTGGCATACCTTTATTTGTTTATAAGTTATTCACGTTTGAACTTTACATGAAATATTAAAAAATTTAAAAATTAATTTTTTGCTTTAAACATCAAAATTTAAGGGTTGAAACCTAAGACTTTGTATTTTCTTATCCCTGAATGATGGTGCGCCCCGTGTAGACATAAAAGCAAGCCATGGAGTCGGGGGGTGCGCGACGCTTGCAAATTAGAATATGCAAATTCAGCGCTCCGGCTGGTTCTGGTTCTTCGTTCTCTTCGCCGTTAACTCCCCGGGCGGCGGCGCACCCACCCCCACCTACCCGCGCGCACGGAATATACTTCGCGGGTCTTTATTCGCGCGGCGACGCCGCCGCCGAAGTCTCCCAACTAATTGGCAACTTCTTAATGTCGTTTATACTTACTGCGGGCTGAAGGCACGTCTCGCCTCTTTGATATAATAAATTTTCGAATGCAAAGTACGTCTACGTCGCACGCGCGCACATCCGCTTTATATTCATTCCTTCGCGGAGGCGGCTGCGAGCGACGAATAAATAACTCGATCGCGGGCGCCGACGACGAGAAAATCCAAAATTGATGCCGGGGCTGCTACACGCTTCATGGTGACAATTGCGCTGTGTATGCGTTTTGAGTTTTCAGTTTTCAACGCGACTGGGGGCGGTGGTAATTATAAATCTTGATTAATTTGTATTCAAGTGTCAAAAGTTTCAAAATTATGGAGGGAAAAAGAATAGTCAAGTTTAGCATCAAATAACTGTTAAAGTATTAAGAATAGAACAGTGAAACAAATTTATTTGTTTAAACAATTTAATTGTCTATCTAAAAATATATGATTGTTGGTATTTTTATAGTTGTTAATAATTTTAAAATAGTAATTTATTAAATATTTCAAGAAATGTAAAAATGTTGTTTTGGAAAAATTTTGATAAAGTTTACTATCTTGTAACTTTTATAACAAAGTAGATATAAACAAAATTAAAACGTCATATTATAGATAATTTAATTGGCTTTCCAAAAATGTATAGTACATATAACTTTGTTTAGTAACAATAGGAATTATTTAAGTTTTTGTAAAAACACTCATAAAAACATAATAAACGGATTTTCAAATTGATTTATCAAGTTTAACACCCTGTAACTTTTAAATTATTAAAGGTAAAAACTTATAAAGAGCAAAATATGATAGACTTTTTAATTGTCTTTCTGCTGGACTAAAAATATTATAAATTTTGTTATCACAAATGAGTTTTATTTATGATTTTATTAAATAAATCTATAAGAAAGTTGTTAAAATAAATAACAAATAAAAACTTCTTATTTTAACCCTCGATAACTTTTTTGTTGTTAAAGTTATATAAAAAACTTAAAAACTGTATTATAGATAATTTAACTGGCTTTCAGGAATGTATTAACTTTATACGTTTAAATTATTTTAATCAAAAGTAATTTGAATTTTTGTAAAATATTTCATTTTTCAAAAAACT